GAGATACCATCTCCTCTCCTGCAACATGGACTCCTTCATGCTATAGCAGACTTCTCCTCGGGAAAAGTGACTTAGCAAAAGCAAGGAATAAAATGGACATGATTGGCAATGTTCTGACACGCAGTGAAGCTCCCTCCCCACTCCTTTATCTTCACAGCCATCACCACGTACCACAGTCCCCTTCTGCATGCTTAGTAGCCACACTTCCACGTGTCTGAGCTGTCCCAGGCACAGACAGGATGCCTCAGCCATGAATGCTCCTGACATTGAAGTAAATCCTCTTTGGATATCGGACAGCTGTTCCTCTTTCTACCCTTTGACTCCCCTCTCCTCTCCTTGTGGAAGCAGACTTTGAAAGAATTTGGCTGCTGATGCCAGTGGGGAACTCCCACGAAGGCAATGAAGTTGCATGTAACTTGTTAGTGGGGAAGGAACTTCTGTGTTCGACCAGAATGTCACATTATAAGTGATGTTACATGTGATGAAGCACAGACTTACAAACTAAGGAACCCACCTTACTCTCTCCCACACAAATTCCTAAGGATCTCCACGCATTGACCATTATTTTCTGCTGCTGATTTTTTAAAAATCTCTAACATGAAATAATGCAATGATTACTTTAGTGTGTACATAGACTGTTCAAACAAAAATAGACAGGAAAAGAATTACACAACTAAAGACAAATAATTAACTCAACTCCCTACAAACTTGCCTAAATACCAAGATGCTTGAGGCTACCAGTTAAAACAAATTATCTCTGGATCTTTTATGCAAATATACAAATGTGTAGCTTGTACAATGATACTGATTCACCACATTTGATTTTTATTGTATTTGTGAGGTTAGCTTTCACTCCCATACATATGCAGGTTTTTTGCAACAGCATTCATAATTTCATCTCCAAGGAACAATGCTGGATTGACAGCATTGAAGTCTAATGCCTCTTGTTTAGTCATTTAAAGTCACGGAAGCTGTTGTGCAGCACATCTCCTTCATATCAACCTGCTTAACTCTGGGGGAGGAAGAAAGCAAGCAAGCAAAAGAATGTCCAGTATTTTGTCCCATTACCCGCTGAAATTATAACATCAAGGAAATACATTTGCCACAAAGTTAGGTGCACACTCAGAAAAGCACCTGAGGCAATCAAGTCTGCTGCTGCGAGCTGCATTTATCTGAAAGGAAGAGAAGTGAGGCCCTGTGAAACCCCAGGTTACCTTTTTCTCCTGAGCAGTGAGATTAGGGGTTCTCACAGGTGCATGGGGTATTCCTTCCCTCCGACCTCTGTTTTCAGGCAAAGGGTATAGAGGAAGGCCATGACAGATTTCCTTCAGGCTGGTCATAGCTGCTGAGGAAATACGAGGAGGAAAGGCAAGGGAAACTGGAGAGGTACAAGGAATGGGGAACGAAGGGTACAGGTAAGCAAGATGCTAAGCGATTCAGATACACCACCACTCTGGGGTGATTTCAAAGAGGACAGCCTGTTCTCTGGCTTTTGCAAACAGGCCTGTCAAGCAGAGAGGGCAGGCGACACAGGTGACACACCTCCCCCCTCTGTGCCATGCCATTGGCTCTTCCCTCCTCCCCCAAAATGAATGATTCACAGTTTTGCTGTTTATTCTCTGGGTGCTTTGTCAGCTCGTGCTGTGCTAAGCCACTAGAGCAAACTCAGTCACTTTCCAAATCATCTGATTCCCCCGATGTCCTAGTGAGAGTCATGGTCTGGAGCATGAACCTTGCCTGAGACCTCAAGGATTGTGCATTTACATTTCTATAGTTTAGGAACTAACTAAAAATTATTATTATTCACATCACTGTTCATACACACTGTTCAGCTAAGATGGGCATTCTCTGTTTGGCACCTCTAGGTATGGGCTGTTCCTCAGATCTCATCAATTTGTCTTCTAGACAACAGCGGTTCCCAATGATAACAGCAAGGTTTCCCCCTTAGGTGTTATCTCCTCTTAGTTCACAGGCATGAATGGATTTTAGTAGTAATAACCTGGAAATGTACTCATTAGCACTGGTAGTGGTTTTCTCAAGACAGGCAATAAATGGGACGAAGAATTAAGGCTAAGTCACTTTTATACCCTACAGTCATCAACAACTAGAAAGTCTTATGGTACTGCCATCCAGACATCACAAGTAAGTGAACATACTTAACTTTGATTTTCCACTCACAGTGCAACATAAACTTGGCTCTCCATTTTGAATTGTTGTTTAAATTATACAGGAGCTTCTTGACCTTTATTACATCCATGGAACTACAACTCGTGACCAGGGAATTTTTCCAAATGCCACAGTTTAAGCCTGGTTAAATTAACTGGGAGAAACATTTCAGGTAGGAATGAGCCTAAAACCTGGGAATAAAAAAATACCGCATTTTCCCACAAAGGCAGCCATCAACAAACGATGACAACAAAGCACAATTATTAAATGACAGCATCTCATTAATGTCACATTGGCTTTAGCTCTAGGACATACTGCACGTCCCCAGCTCCCACAGAAGATGCTTGAGTTGAAAGAACTCAGAACGTCCCAGGGGAGCTGAGCGCATAGCAGACTCAAACCCTCTGAAGGATACTAACTGTCATTTATGGCAGGAGAATTTTGTTTTGCAGTTTTACAGTATTTTAGCTGTTTTCAAACAAAAGGCAAAGACAAAAAGGAGAGGAAAAAGCCACCTTCATATTTTAAAATTTTCTATTGTGTTTTCTTATTAAAACCATTTTAGAAAGGAAGATAAGGGTGAAGTCAGAAAATTCTACCTCAAAAACAAGCTGAGTAACCCTGCCTTACTCAAAGGGTTCCCTGAAGGGAAATCAATCTTTCCTTATTCTTCTTTGTATGACCCACATTCTGCAAATCCCTCTAAGGTCTGATCCTGTGCACACACCGGCACAAGAATAACCTAGTCTACATTTGGACTTGCGGCGGACCTGCTTCCCTCCCGTCAAGCAGAAGTTAATGGTGTTACACTGCTGTGAAAGCTGAAGAAAGGGAGAATGAAGCTGGGGGGTGGGAACCGACTCCCTAAACTAAAATGATTTCGAGGCCCGAGCACTTGCACCCCCTGATCTCTACATGCTGGAGCCTCTCTTGTGTCCCTGGGAGCTTTGTCTCGGAGTCACCCGAGCAAACCCGACTTCAGGGCCATGCCCAGTGTGGCTGGGGCAGGCAGGTGTCCCAGAGCGGACAGCCCAGCTTCTCCGGGAAGTTTCCAGTCCCCTCACTGCCTTGTCCCAGCTCACGTCTGGGATTATGGAAAGAGCCCCCCCGCTCGTCCCCGTTCGTACGCCGTGCGAGCCGTGCCTAAACCAAAGCCCACAGCCACCCCGCTCTCCCCACGCCCTGGGGGTGCCTGGGGCTGGGCTGTGTCCCCGGGGGTCCGGGCAGTGCCCCGCTGCGGGGCGGGTGTCGTGTGCCGGGCCGCCTGGCAGAGGGTGCTGCAGGGACAGCAGGCACCGGCCGGGCGGGCTGCGCGGGGACACGCACACGCACGGACACGGACACGGACACGGACACGGACACGGACACGGACACGGACACGGACACGGACACGCACACGCACACGCACACGAACACGCACGCACCGGCTCCTGGAGGAGAAGATGCGGCTGGAAAACAACGCCTGCATCTGAGCGCGACTAGGACCAGCCCAGCCGACGAGGAGGTGCGGAACCGACCCATCCTCCTCCACCCCCCCCCCCCCCCCAAAACACCCCCCCACCCAAAACCAACCCCCAAACCAACAACAACAAAAAGCCAACAAAAAAAAAAATCACGTATAAAGAACAGGAAGAAGATCACATGTTATAATAATCCCCTTTGCAGCCAGACAGGACCAGAGAGGAGAACAGTTAGGACCGAGAGATGTGCTAGAGGCTGAAAGGGAGGCAGAGACAAAACTTGAAGACAACTAACCAGCCCTCGGGGGGGGAAGGAACCCCCCAGCCCTAAGCCTTGCTGCAGCAGGAGGGAGGAAGGATCCTCCAGCCCCCCCTCCCCGCTTTTCCCCCTCTCGCCTGGGCGCTGGGCACTGCACCTCCGCCCCGGGAGAGCAGCCCCCTGCCCGAGCCTGCCCTCCTGCCCCTCCCCGCGAACCGCAGCCCCTAAATCGCAGCCCGAAGCTGCGGTCCAGCAGCAGAAGCGGCAAGGGATTTCCCAGGCACCGGCACCGGCGAGCTGGCGTTGGGTTTGTTTTTGACTCTTAGCCCCCGGCGCTCGCTGTGTGAAGCAAATCCCTCGGAGGTGGGGGAGAAGTGGCTTCCGTGACAGCGGAGGGAGGAGGGAAATACAAGCAAATAAACCAAACCAAAATAGAAAGAGAGAAGAGCCAAGAAAGCACTTGCTTCTCATCATCTCTCGGGGAGAAAAGCCAACTCTGTTCTTCTTATGACCCTCTGCCGCAGGGAGCAAAGGGAAAGAAGGTACTGGGGCAGACCTCCTAACAAAGCAGGGTTCAGGCTGCCCGCACCCCATCGCTACCCCAGTTAGCAGCAGGCTGCGGGAGGTGCGGGGGGCTAGGGGAGGTTGCCGGGGGAACCCAGGCAAAGCCAGCCCGAAGCCGCACCAAAAGCAAGGAGCAGAAATGAAAGTTTCGAAATAGCATCCAAACAAGCGCGAAGGACCGGACCGAACAGAGCTCCCCGCATCGCATCAGCCCTCGATGGTGCATTCGAGGGGCTGCACCAGGGATGTGAACGTCCCCAGCCCGCTGCATGGAGAGGGGTAAAGACACAGAAAAGCCTTGTTATTTATTTATTTATTGGAAGCGATGTATGGGTGACACCCAGAAGGCATCCGAGCCCTGAAAAAAAACCCAAACACCTCTGCACCCAAACGAGAACAAGAAGAATGAGACAGCAGCCTTGACCCCTACACTGAGAGGAAGGTGAGCAGAAGGAAAGAAAGAAAACACAGAAAAGCCATGCAAGCACCAAACCTGTAGATTACTGCAGCTCTTTTTTGCTTCACCGAGGACAGATATTTTACCGACAGCCATGCAGCATAAAGGCATCATGCTGATTGTGTTCTTGGAATATCTTATTTCTGGCCATGGGGAAGCAGGTAAGCAAAATAAATCAATATTGCCATTCTGAAACAATTTGTCCTAAGTTTATCAAGGGGAAAGAAAATAGAAATGAGATCAGTTTGTTAAAAAAATTTATGTCAACATCTTTATTTTAGATTGGATTTTTACAAAGAATCTGGGTTAGTCAATATATACAAATGCTTCTTATTCCCTGCAACACAGAGCTTTATAGCTCAGTCTTCTCCCAAAGACTTATAACAGGATGTACAGTTTCATACATCCTTAAAAGAAAAAAAGTGTATGATTTTTATGAATGAAGGAAAAGTAAGAAAGAGGTAGATGGATTGAGATATGCTGGATATTTGTTTTGAGGATGAAACACTGCCTTCCTAGGCAGGACAAGAGTGAAACGACAACATCCTTGGAGAGCATCACTGTAGGAATCTGAATTATTCTCTCTTAACTTAATTTTGCATTGTTAAAAGTCAGAGACACTGTTTAGGAATTACTATTTATCCAAGACAGTCCATTGTTAACATGCAGTGGACAAGATTAAAATAGCATTAGAGAAAAAATGGATTAGGACAGAAAAAGAAGTTGATTAGTTGTGTGTGTATATGTGGGTGTACAAATAAGCATATATACGAATGATACAGCAGTAATGGTATTTACATAGGGTCCTAAAAATACCTGGATTATGATGGAGACAAATTCCTTAAGGGAAAAGAAGCAAAGCATTAGATTTTTTTCTTCCTGCTCTGGTTTAAGATATCTTTAGGTTTAAAAGGGATGAATTACAAAGATCAGGTTATTTTATTAGAAAAATAAAAATAATTATTGATAAAACAACAATACATCCTTGGTGACCTTTCCTTTGAGATACTGGCTTGGGAATCTCTCTTTCTGTACAGGAAAGCATATCAGTGGTTTAAATTTCACCTGTGTGCTCAGAGTATTAGGACAGGAACAACACTCTTCATGCAGTGATTTGAAAGCAATTGAAGTGTTCAGCTACCCTGCAAGCTCCGGTAAAGTCAAAGGCAGATCAGGTGGCTTCAGCTCAGATTATTCCCTAGCTAGAACCCTTTTGATAACGTAGACATCAGATTTCCATAACTGCAAGAGATATTTTCTGAAATACTGAAAAAAGCTCATAAATTTACAATCCTGTCATATTATCCAGTGACTCATTTGGGAAAAAGGCTGTCTATCACAACATGACAGGGAATGAGTGGAGGAAGGACATGTACCTTAGTCCTCTTAGTGTCTTATCTTGGGCATTCACTAGTTTCACAGGCTAGGACACTCCCTAAGGATATATATGTTGACACAGAGCACAGAAACGTTACAGAGATACCTTGTAAAGTTGCTGATACTGTTGCAGAAAGCAGCCTGTTATAAACTAGCCTAAATTTGCTCTGCATCCAATTCACAAAGTCAAAATGAATCTTCAAGGAAATGCAGCCCACAGCTGACTGCTTGGAAAGTGAATTTGAGGGGAGGGAGTGTGTTCTGTGTGGAGCTAAACACACTCAGGATAATGGTGTAGGACGCAGTGAATAACAGCAAAATAACTGGATATTGAAGGTGATGACGCTAAGGATTCAATGTCACTTTAAATAAATCTACGCTGCTTGGTCAAAAGGTTGCACAAACCATCAGTGTGTGGAAGCACAAGGGTTACCTGTTCATTTTTAATTCTTTTTTTTTTTTTTTCTTGAAGCAACACAAAAATCTTGAATTAACATTGAATCTTTATGGATCCTGTTACAGGCAGGGTCAGTACTGCTCAGACTAAGGTTAGTTTGGACAATGCTTAGCCCATCTGTGTAAAATGATTTGGAAGTCTCAGCCTTTTCCTGAGCAGAGAGGTGTACAGGGAAGTATGTTTTTGACATGCTTTATTACCCTATACAGTAAACTCCCTTATCAGCCCTATTGAGCCCTCCTGGTCAGAAGTGAAACAAATTGATGGGGCAGTTGTGTGGGGAGTACATGTAGTACTATATTTGCCGGGAGTACAATATTTGCCTTCTGCCATCTCTGTGCAGAGAAGACGGTCTGGGTTGTCAAGATTGGCTCCTTAGATCTTTAAATACAATGCCAGGGGAAAAGAAAAACCCACCTTAGTGGTTAGGCTGGAGGAGTCACCTAGGTTTTATACTGTGAGATGTGACACTTGGGTGATCCTTCCCCTAGTCTTATGCAGGTGGAGGGCGTTATTCCCCTCAAATAACCTCTGCATTGGTCCGAAAACTCCTGCATATTGGGCCAGTTGGCGGGACTGACAACAGCTGGGGCTCTTGCTTCAGCCCCAGCCAGCCCTGGAGCTCCCCGGGGGAGCAGTGCCCGGGCCAGCTCTCCTCCCGATGGCAGCCCTCCAAAAGGGGGCGTGATGTGGTCAAAAATGGCCATTTCCAGCACCAAGCTTAAAATCAGTTGCAGGACCTGATGATTAGCAGGGTTTGGTTTCCTCTGGTCTGGGGTTATTCAGCTCATCTGCAAAGGAGGCTGTAGGCGTTGGAGCTCACCGTTGCTCCAGAGGGGACGCGGGCAGGTGGACTGCAACTGGCCACGATGGAGGAGAGCCCAGACCTGGGATCTTATTCTTCTGTCCGTGCCTCAGGTCATGGAGGCAGCTTGATTTCGTAGCATATTCAGAACTTCACCTCTGGGGTATTTATGAAGGCTGGCTCATTCGCTCCAGTTATCAGGGCTATTTTAGTGCAGAAATACATCAGGCTACTCATAAGTGAATGAAAACTTGCCAAACTTATTTGCATGTTGGCCCCAGACAAACCAAACGATTGTATAGCACTTCTGTTGTAACCAGCATTAAGGGGTGAAGTTCTAGGTCTGATTAATAAAAACTTGAGCAACTCACGTCCCCAGGGTGGTTAGCTTTAAAAGAACATTTAAAAGTTTTTGGTTATTAAGAAAAAAGTTAAACAGATATAGAACAAGTGAAATCCAGGTTGGACATACATGCTGAAACAGCTTCATCAAAAACATAGCAGAAGGTGCACAAGGGTTTTAGTGTTTACATGTTGCTCAGAACTGTGAAATTTGCTCTCCTGCCTCACTGTAGGAGACTTGAACATGCAAAATCATAGATTTGCATATGGAAAAGAAAAAAAATTCCAATTCAAATCGCTCAGAAAATATTAGGCATCTTTCCAGTCACATCAGCAGGCTTTGACTGAGTTGCCATATGACTTTTCTTCTGTTGGGTATCCAAAGGAGGGTGGTAAAAAAAACCCTAAAAAGAATTGAACCTGTTTTTAGTTAATGTCTACAATGTTCTGTTGCATTACAAGGCTCTGAGGTAAAAGATCTCCGTTTGAAATGGTGTCCCAGGAATATTGATAGTATGACCTCCCTTGAACTGTGTGATTCCCTAATCATCAGATAATACCATTGTTATAACACGTGCCGGGCATGTGTCATTGACCTGCCACTTTGTGACACAGGTCTGAGGGACCAGAAAACAAACAAATATATTCATCATACCATTTATGGATCCAATCCCCCCTCCATGGAGTAAAAGCTAATCAACTTCATAATAACATGCAGTGCTCATGTGCAATCAAACTGTTTATTTCTTTATGAATTATTCAATGAGTCCTCCTGGCAGTTGGGCTAAGTTGTTTGTTCGCCTGGCTGCTGTTTCTCTTCTGCAGCATTCCCCCCTCACTGTCCAGATTCAACATTTCACGTTGTTTCCACAGAATCAGTGAGTGACGGACAGGCTGCACTATCCTTGCGGCCAAGCAATGTTCTGCCAATTGATTTCTTTAAATGCAAAGCTTTTAATCGACTGCAGATTTTGTTTTGCAATCTCTCTCCTTCTCTCAAACTCCCTTCTGCTAATTTGCACTTTGTTCTTCTCCCATTTTCCTAATGACACAGCAGTTCAGACAGGAACTGTTTATTGATGTTGCTGCATTAGCAGGCAGAGCAGATAAACCTTCTTGTGACTGTTGTTCAGGAGAACAACCATGTTTTACTTCCTTTTCCAGGTTCAGATAAAACCAGCCGAAAAACTCAATACAAGACTAATAGCCCATTTATCGGAAATACAAAAAGCAGCCATTCCCTTCAAAAAATGTTTCCTTTTTTACTTTCTCACATTCTTGTCTGCAAAGCTTCCCGTACATAACTCCTTAAATTTAGAACTCCAGCATCCCATTTACTTTGTGAAAGCTTCAGTGCTGTGATCCATCAATAGAGATGGACTTTCTTTTAATTACATGGTATATTTATTCATAATCCAATAGCATTTGTGACATGGACCCATTCTTACTCAAAACTAAGTAACTTGACTCTTAGTCAGAGCTAATGCTTGTTCAAAGCTCAGTTGTAAGACCAGTCCCACTTAAATTCTCTGGAGGCAAAGATGACACCTTTCTGCAGCACTGAGCAAAACCAGTTAATATCCAATCTACTTTCAACACAGAAATTGCTGTGCTTTCCTTATTTCCAGTAATTTGTACCAAAGAGCTTGGACACTAACATGAACCTATATGCCACTTGCAAAGACATTCTTGAGGAATGCAATTGTAGCTTATTATATTTTTGCTGACCTGCAAGGATAGATTTATCTTTATTTCAAGAATTCTGTGTGACTCAATGAAATTCATCCTCCTGAGCACACAATAATTTGGAATTTCAGATGCTCTGCAAAAAGGAGGAAGCTCTAAACAACTTTTGTGGAAACCCAAGTCCTTTCTCAGGATGAAAAGACTCAGAGAAATTGCAAGGAACCTCCCAGATAAAATCTCTGTAGCTCCTGGTGTTCCCCTGTAACTGTACCAGGCTCAGATGGAGTAAAAAGTTCATAACCAGAAAGAAAATACATTGAAATCATCATCAAGCAGTCAGGATGATGTGAAGGCTTGGTGAAGGATCTCCAGTAGTGTTAAGAATCACCTGCTCAGTTGAAGTTGGGGAGCAACGAACAGAACTGATAGAGCCAAACATCCCCGTCTTCTCTCCTTTCCTCTCCAGCTGACTTCTGCAACTCCTCCTCTCTCATGAAAACTCATCTCTGTGCTGGCACAGGGAGTGGTGGTGGGACTGAGGAGTGGCAGCTTTCATTCCTTTGACCCAATGACTATTAGGTGCACATGTAATTCAGGCACTGCTGCCCTCTAAGCTCTGCCAGTCTCCTAGGACTTCACTGGGATACTAAAAAAAATCTTGGCCAGCCCATTCCAGCCACTGGTGGAAGACAGCCTCCACCAGGAGGAAACCTACTGTATCTCCAGACACCCCCTCTTTCCTTGAAGCTGCTGCTACAATGTCCGTAAGGCAAACACACAGTAAGTCCAAGTTCCTTTGAAGGTGGCTTCCACCCGTTTCTAAGAGTAGTCAAGAGCATTTTTGGAGGCTCTGCTTCCTTGCTATCTGAAGTTTAAGGCTAACTTAAGCTGTATGTAAGTTAAAATGACATCATTGGTCAATAGGATTCAGTGGACACACAGCAACTTCGTTTTGTGTCCTAATCCTGGGAAGCAAAATGCATGAGGTGTTTTCCAAACCAATGTCCATCTCTGACCTTTCTCTTCTGGCCTGTGCAGAAATGTTCACCAAGGAACTAAGGACAGAAGCAACTAGGAGGCAAAACTGTGCATGCTGGACACATTTCTTCACCTTGAGCATTCCTTTTGGAATGAGGGACATCAGTTTCATTCAACTACATTACAATTTAAGTATTTTTATAAGGCTGACTTAGAGAGTCTTTTCTTTGACCTAACTTGATTTTAAAACTAGTTTTGCCTGAGGAAAGGCTGAATATAAGCCAAGTAGGGATTTAAAATTTGACCTAGAATGTTGAACTAATAGCTGACCTTTGAACTGCTCCTAGATTACCCAGGGTTTACGGTCATCCTATGTTTCATTGGAAGGGTCATTTCCTGTAGGACTTACATCCAGTCATCTGACTTGTGACCTCTTGGATTAGATTTATGACCTTGCAAGGTCAGTCTTTAAGTCCTAGACTGTTAAGTTGCAAAGAGGACATTGTAAGTCATTAGAAAAGCAGTTTTCTCCAGTATGGTAACAAGATTTTGGAATGACCTTTAATTCCAGTGTCACAAGACAATACTGATTTCCAAACAATATTAAGACTTTGTAGTTATCCCTACCTTTTCTTAATTTAGAAATAAGTATATATATACACTGAAGATTTCAAAAAACTGCCAGTATTTGCAAACTTAGCAAACAGAATATAGTCACCTACTTCCCTGTCAAGGTATTTAAACAAAAGAGAGACTTGATTTTCAGCTCTGCTAAGTCCTAACAACTCCAGCTGATCTCAACAGGAGCAGTAGAAACTCAACACCCCTCAGAATTATGCCAGTAATGCAAAACTATAGAAAGACATGCTTTCTTTATGTGTTTGTATGTGTAATTATTGTCTGTAATTTGTTGGGCAGGAATCATCTCTTTTCTTAACGTATCTACAGTGTATTGTACAGTTTGACTTTGATTTCTGATAACAATGAAAATAAATGCATTGAATAGATTCAGTCCTCACACACAGAGCTTTACTAGACTGAAAGTAAGAAAACACAAGATTTCTGTGGTGAAACACAAAATTCAATAGGCCAACGCAACTGCATTTTCAATAGAAATCAAAGTTAAGCACCATAAGCATGAGTTTTCTAAAGACCTCAGTTTCTGAGTTAGGCACCAAAACCAGGGACGAGATTTATTGAGAAACTCCCTCCAAACTTTGTGTGAAAAGATGAAGTAGCTCTCCATAGAAGGAGTCCTCTTGGATGTCAGTCCCCAGATGAGGACTCCAAACATTTGCATGGTCACCTGTGTTACAGCCTGAGAACTATTTGAGAAATTCTACTTAGCTGTGTTTCTTTTGCTTGTCTTTCAGATCCCATGAGGCTACAAGCCTTCCGCTGTAATGGCCGTTCTTGCAACCCTTCGGTGGGAAACCTTGCAACAGGGAGGACACCAGTCACTCTCACCACGTGTGGCCAGAACAGTACAGAACTGTACTGCTTCTACCCAGACCAGAATCTCCTCCATCAGGTCTCCCATGGCTGTGGGCAGCCTCGCTGCACCAAATGCAATGCCAACCAGCCTGATAACTCCCATCTCCCTGCTGACATGACAGATGATTTTTTTGCAAACCCCATCTCCTGGTGGCAGTCTGCCCAAGGAGTACACAGGGAAGAAATCAGAATGGACTTTGAAACAGAATTCTACCTGACTCATGTCATTGCTGTGTTCAAGTCACCTCGCCCAGCTGCGATGGTGTTGGAAAGATCCCAGGACTATGGGCAGACTTGGAGGCCCTACAAGTATTTCTCTGTCAACTGTACAGCAACTTTTGGGCTCCAGGATGATATTATTGAGGAAGGCTCCATGTGCACTTCCAGGTATTCTGATGCAGTGCCCTGCACCAGAGGAGAGGTAAGCAATAACTGAGGTTTGGAATAAGTATAATGTCAAACAGCTGAAGACTGGCTGAAAATCAGAGAGTATGTGCTCAAAGAGATACTGTGCATATAAATAAGAAAGGCAGCCCATCCCCAAACGTTTCGTGTTAATAAAGGGGAAGAAGAACAGAAATTATATATCCATGAAAATGAATGAAAATGCTTTAACAAATTTCTTTCAGTAGAGTGGCACAGGATAGGATTAACATTGCCTAATTTCACATTGCAGATGCCAATAACTGAACTAGAATTCCAACAAAATAGATGTAGGGAAATACACATTTATAGACTTTGATTTATCCAAACTGTTTTTCTACTTTAGGATGACATGAACTGCATGGTCTTTCTTTTTCTTCTCCATATAAAAAGTCTTAGCTGATTGGATGACTTTTAAATACATCCTTCCCCTAAGTTTAATGTAACTTTTCTTGCTGGGAGTGACAGTGCTGACTGTATCAAGCCATAGGCTCCGGAAAGGAAACCATTTAGGAACAGGAAGTGGAAGTGAGCAGCCAGGTTTCACTATTCAAAACTGGGAAAAGGCCCTCCCTTGGTATGAATATTCTGATGTGCTATTAAATATATGCAGAAGGCTTTCCTTTAAAATAAATGTACAATTGCTCAGATAAATTCCTCTGACAAGAACATTAACGACTGCTTAGTAATCAGGTACTTAGTTTAGTTATAACCCTTCTCATTCATCAATCTTGAAACAGTTTAGATGGGAAAGATGGTAAGTATCATTGATATCATTCTGTAGAGGAGACATAAAGGCACAAAGGGAGATTATGAGACATGCTATAGTCACAACAGAGGCTGGAGTCCTTTCACTTCCTTCTCTCTTCCTTAGAGAAGTCACAATCCTCTTGGTTTCCCTGTCTGGAAGTGATCAGACAGGTTTGGCAGTAATACTTTGCTGCAAATTAAGCTCAGGTGTGAGGTGAATGGTCCAGATAGGCTTCAAAAAACACAGTGGTTTCAGCAGTGCACTTCAAAATGCACTTGAGAAGAAAGAAACTAGTGTACTATATCTGAGACAGGGAAATAGCAGTAAGGAGAGACTTGAGTTCATCTTTGTGCAACAGGCTGGGAAATATCTCTGCATATTAGAAATACGGAGCAGATCATCTGACTACTAAACTGTCTTGTTCCTGAAGTAGTAATTCTGCTGGTCAGTTATCATGATACACTTAAGTCAAATACATCCAAATGTCTTCTGCAGGGAGATTACAATTTGCCACGTCAATACAGAATCTAGGCAACTAACAGAATTTTCCACTCTTGTGTGCCTTCCAATCAAAAATCTGGAAGTACTTTGCAAAATCCCTTTACTGATCTTCAGTACACATATAAGGGTCCTGTTGCCGTTTCACAGATGGGAAAAGAGCAGCACAGAAAGGTGAAGTGTTTTGTGGTAAAACAGGACAATTCTGGTTGTGTAAGGAACAGAATACAGGATCTGAGGCAGATGCCTTGGCCTTAAATGCAAAACAACTCTTCCTTCTCTAGTACAGTATCCCCTGTTGCCCTGCACTATGTTGGCTTTTGTGCTTACTTAACCTTGGGGAATATCATTAAGACCATGTGTTGCTGCTACAACAAATCTGAGAAGTGGATGGCAGAAAATCAAATAATAAAACACTCATCCAACACAGGCCTTTGTGATTACAAGTGTCAAAATGATTCTGTCAACTTGGGCAGCAACTACACTGAAATGAATATGTGTATGCTTAATCAATCTACACTGTGGTAGTAGATGTTAGAAAACAATAGTAATAGTAAGAACAGTCATATATTTACAGGTCATACCCTTGCAGATCCCAAATACTTTCATGAACTGTTACATGAATTGAATACATACAGAGGTCACTTCCTCCGCGGGACGGAGAGCTGAAGCTTTAAAGCAGCACACAGGAATCTGTATGGCAACTTAACAGAGAACAAGACAAATACTGTTTCACAGCACATTAACCCAAAAGGATTCTGAAGTTCTGGACAGACTTTACAGAGACCTCTTAATCAATCCATGAAATGCCACTATGGCAAGGGTGCAAAAGCATCAGGCTTTTCAGGTCAGCAATATGACACAGCAGATTCTTTTGTGAATGAAAATAAAGGAAGGCAGAGTGTAGTTATTTAAAGTGATACCTGATCACATTTGCCTGAGTGACACTGCTACTCTTACTACAAGTCTCACAGGAGCTTTGCCTACGCATCTCAGAACTGCAATTTTACACCTTATTTTAAAGATGTCACAAATGTCACCAGGGCATCCCCTCAAGCACTGACTCACAACTGACTTGGAAGGAAGCTGAATCCCCACCACTACTTTCTGCAGTGTTCTCTGCTTCTTTTTCACCTCCACTCTGACCTATCCAATTACTGATTCTGGCTAAGCCTTGGATTGCTGAGGAGCTCACATCACAAGCTGACATTTCTGAAATGATCAAAACCATTCCAACTTAAATGCTAATTAATGCTCTGAGATAAATGCCAGTTTTCTCTACTGAGGGGGTTGAAGTCATTTCCACTGCGTGACACTCAGGATTTTCTCAGGCGTTGTCCTATTCACTTGAAGAAGAGATACAAATTCCTTCTTAACAGGGCACAAAAGGAATCAAAAAAAAAAGAGATGGCTTACTAAGAACACTTAGGCTTAAAACTCATGTGGGAGACATCATGAAACAAGATTTCAGGTCAACTGGCTTCCAGAACTGAGAATGTAGATGTGAAAGGAGAAGGTGGTAGAGCTCCAGTAGTTTATATGCATCTATAAACTGAGATACATCTCCCTGAGTCAGCACACTCTGGTGGTCCTCCAAGACCACTGAAAGAGGTTTTACCTGGGAGCATGACAGGAAACTTGGCAGAAGAGAAACTTTTAGGAGACTAGAATGGAAGCAAAAGACATTTGGCTGAGTGATGTGACAATGTCACAACAGAACATAATGTATCACTAAGTTAAGATGTATCCCTTGTCTCTTGTAGATTATCCCTTATCTTTCACTTCTGACAGGGTCACACATCTCCTTTCTGTCTCAGATAAGGTACAGATGAGACAGAAGGTGTCATGCATTGGGGAACAAGTCCTGTAGAAATACAAGATTACTTCCTAATATCTCTTTTGCAGTTTTCTTTTACTCCAGCATTTACTAAATCCCTTACTCCTGTTCAGATCCAGAGTGCTTCTGCAGCTAGAATCTATCTATCAGAGATCCTAGGTCTCCCTGTCTTAATTCTTCTGGCAGTAAACTTGCTCTATAGATGATTTCTGGTCTAGGAGGCAGAGCAATTTATTCACTGCCAATTGCCTACACATCATTTGCTTCATGTGAAGCACCACAAAGTCAACACCTAACTTTCTATGCTTATGAACACTTCCCAGTGAAAATCCTCCACTAGCATGTCTTAAGTCCTGACTGGCCTGTTAAGTACCTTATGTTCTGGCTCTTGACTTCTACCACTATAAGAAATTATTTATTAAATGGGAAACAAGTCCTTCTGATCTATATCCTATTCTTAAGGGAGAAAATTCTTAACTATTCTTCAGGGAGAATAGTTACTGCCTATCTGCTTATCATCTTCAGTATGCCAACCTCCAACACAACATCATGAACTTAAAACAGACCCACCTTTTTAAGGTCTGTTTATCTACTGTAAATGCATCTACAGGCAATGCTTGCATGGAGTCTTATGCATCAACTGAGACCTTTTTTACCTACTTGTCTATTCATCTGTTTTTCTAATTTAAAAACACTGTACTATATAGTCATGGAGCCTAAAATGAGCCTTCAGGTCAGCTAATGTAAATCAAAACTCTGGCCCAAATAAAAGGAGAAATTACCACAACGTTGCATGAGACATTAGTGTGACTTACAGTTCAAACATCATATGGGGGAAACAGGGACTGAAATGTTTCAACCTGCATCCTGACAGCACGTGCACTCAAGGATCTGAGAGATTAAGAGCACGTTTTTAATAAACTGGAATATCGGGAAATGAAAACAAATGTTCTCCTTCATCGAAGATGATGTTTGCATGAAAGGAAAACATTAGCATGCAAAGCAGGGTAGAACACTGACCTGCTTATAACCATCAGACCCAAAAGGAGACCCTTCCCCTATTGGGTCTAGCTAGTGGAAGGGAGTTTTGAATCAAAGGCTGGTTCATTTATGTGAGTGTCTGTGTGACAGATGACACCAATGAAGTGTGATATAATAAACCCATTACTGGAATTCACTGGGGGCTGGAAGAATTGTGTATGCCTGAATTAAGTAACTGGTTTCTATGGCAACATGTTAAGTGTGCCTTGCGCAGAAGACCTGTTCATTCTCCGTTTTGTATCCTGTGGTGACCTCTTTAGGGACAGAAGTCCCCAGCAGTGCCTTTTGTCAAAGATGAGTGGACTCGCTTTGTAGCTAAAAGACTTTTAATCACTCTTCTAAGCACACTCTGTGAATGCCAGATCAAAACCTGTTGTGATGGGCTGCAGTTCTGTCTGCTTCAAAAGCCACCAGGTTGTTCAGACAGAAGCCACAGTCAACCTTATGGAAGACCTTTTCTTCTGCACTGACACTGAAGACCTCTGCTGCCTTTCTCCATCTACAGGGACTCCCTGAGCAACAGTTATGGCAGAGGGGGACCACTTGCACACAGACACCAAACCAGGCCAGGGACAGGGCTCTGTGTGGAATGTATGTGATTCTGTTCCAAGGACCTACATTTTTTGCTGTGTTTTCTTAGGCTTTTCTCTTACTGTATTCATGCCAAACCTTTTGATAAACAAAGGAGGATCCCCTGCACACACACACACCTCATTAAGTGGCAATATCAATAATTCAAGAGGTCACCACTAAGGCTTCAGTGGCTTCTTAAAGGTCTGATCTCATATGGCAGTGGGGTCACTGAAAAGAAACATGCTCAGCACATCACAAGGTTGAATTCCTAGTAGCTAAGATGCAAGGGCAGGGTCTT